TGGGGAATGATGTGGAGATTGGGTAGGGGGCTGGGAGGCTGGTGGAGGGACAAGGGGTGAAAGACGGAGCTGGGACTGACATGTGAAACATTCACGTTTCTAATTTAAATAAAAACATATATTGAGAAAATAAATAAATAAAAACAAATCAGTTGCTTGTATCCATACTAGTTTGGATTTCATACAATAAATTATTCAACAGAAAATTCTGGTTGCTTTTCAAAAACTGTTTTGAAACAAGGGCTTAAGATATATATATCCCTCTACCTGTCACCATGACTCTGGCAGCTGAAAATACAGACCGATAAAAGTATCAGTACTACCTTCTGAAAGGTCAGTAACTCTTAGTCCAGTGCAAGAGAAACCAAGGCACAGTGTAGCCCTTGCTTGCTATAAGGCATTTTTTATTTCAGGAAAATTCCATCTGCTTGCAAACCACACAATGGTAGCACCTGTAAAACATAGTGCTCCTAGGTTTGTATAAGTGTGTGTTCTACTTCTGGGCAATAGCTTTAAAGTTTCTACAGGCCACATCTGGGCTGGGTAGCACATGTGATCCCATCAACCAAGTGACTGAGACAGGAGTGGATCCTTAGCACTGAACTAAGGTCACTGGATTGTCAGCAAGTGTCCTCATCTGCTGAGACAATTAACCTGCCCCTCAACCTTTACTTCAAAGCTAGGAAAGAGCATGAACCAAAGATCTAAGATGCCTAAACTCTGTGGGATTAATTTCTTCTTAGGAATGATACCCAATATCTAATTAAAGATAATTATAAGATATAGGAAGAATGAAATTCATACTCATGGAAAATACCACTTGATAGAAAGTTTCACCAATTCCTATATGGCTGAATTATCTAAAACATTAAGTAATCTTATTTAACATGGAAAAAAGAATGTGTAAATATAATGGTTGGAGATGTTAGAAACTCCTTAATTGTGAAAACTACAAGGAACTGTATGTGAAGGGACTAAAGTAACGCCATGTTGTCCTGACTGATCTTGTGTTTGCTCAGACACTTCTCAACCTTCTATCCCCTAGTAGACATCTCTGCCTTGGGAACACATTGGGATTTCCATGACTCTGACTATGGTCCAGATCTATTAACCAGAACAATTAATGTTTATACCAACTAAACATAATCAAGATAAATGAAAAAGGTGTAAGTCAAAATTGTCACTCTGTGTCTGAGATAACAATGTTCTGTCAAAACAAATGCAGGGTTACTCTGATCCTTGTCTGTCACTAATGTCCTTGTTGTTTTTGTCTTTTAAAATATTGTACCTCAGCTGAGCTGTGGTGGTGGAGTCCTTTCATCCCAGCACTTGGGAGGCAGAGGCATGTGGATCTCTGTGTGTTATAGGCCAGCCTGGTCCACACAGCAAGTTCCAGGTCGGGCTCTAAGGCTACACAGAGAAATCTGTCTGGAAAAAACAATGTTGTACCCCTAAGCTTTAGCACCAAGAGGCTCTGAGGCATGAGCCTACTCTTAGTTGTGGGTCAAAAAATAAAGGACTAACACTTTTAATTAATTGGCTTAGTCAGCTTGGTTTTCTGTATCATTCTCAAGTGGATTATTTCACATAGAAATGAGGAACCTGAAAACACCAGTAGAAACGATTAGCTAAATGAGAAGACATGAGCACAAGTAAGAAAACCAGAAAGAAAGTAATAGAAAAATTATGTTACATATTGATAGCATAATTATGAGGTAAACAGATGAAGCAATATTCACCACATCATAGAACAAGATGAGAAAGAGATAACATGAGCAAATTTATGCTATAAATTTGATTGTCCTGGCTGTGGGGTCAGTCAATGGGGACCCTAGGGGAGGGAGTGAGAATGGGGGGACAAGAAACAGGAGAGACGGAGACAAGACAGTATTCTGATCAAGTCACATTTATCGAAAGCACCAACAGGGCTTAAGTAAGGCAGGTAGCAGAAGGGGGGGCAGAAGTTATCCTTGGCAGGGTATGTTCCAAGGACACAAGTCTGCAGCTGGGGGAGTCTGGAGTGCAGGCCAGGTGGCAGAAGGGTGCGAGAGCCTGGACTTCAGCCCTTGAAAATGTGCTGTACAGGAAGATAAGCAGGCACAGAGAAACAGAAACTTAACTAGGTGTTAGTCTCTAAGAATACAGTAGGAATAGTAAGATGGCTTCTATTATGCTGTCCTTATTTAGGGCCCTCCACATTTGATAATATATATAAAATGGAAAAATTCATTGAGAAGGTAACTTGACTTAAAAGGCAGAAAATCTGAAATCAGTGGCAGTCTGCTATCAGAGTCCTAACAATTCCTTCTCCACACAGCCTGGAGGTACAGGATGCCCATGGTGTCTCCCAACTGTGTGTAATAGGCCAATTTAACACATAATTAAATTGTGCATCCCAAAGGATATTCTATGCCCAGTGAGCTACAATGTGAAATGTATCAGACATGTAAGGAAGAACTCTACCTGCTTTATGTGAGCTCTTTCAGAAAGTGAGAGAGAATGTTTCTAATTCCTATCATGATGTCAGTATCTGTCCAATCCCCAGATTTGACACCAGCATTTCAGAAAAAGAAAACTACACTCTAAGAGCTTGTAGAGCCAAGCAGTGGTGGTGCACACCTCTATTCCCAACATTCCAGAGGCAGAGGCAGGTGGATCTCAAAGTTCAAGGCCAAGGCGGTCTATAGAGCAGAGTTTCTGGATAGTCAGAGCTACACAAAGACACCCTGTCTGGAAAAACCAATAAATCATACATACATACATACATACATACATACATACATACATACATGCATGCATACATACATACATACATGCATACATAGAAATGGAAAGAAGAAGTGAGGGAGGGAGGAAAGGATAGAGGGAAGAAGAAAGGAAGGAGGGAAGGAAGGAAAGTATGAAAGAAGGAAGTAAAAATAAAAGAAATGTGGGAAATGGAATTGGCTCAAGACACCCCAAGATCAAGTTGTCAGCACAAACATTTATTTGCCCCAGAGGGACAAAGGGCAGGAATTAAGAGACAAAGACAGAACCCAGAAGGACACAGTAGACTAGTAAGGGGGAAGGGAACTTGGGGCAGAGGGCATCTGTCTGTAGGCAGGGGGTACTGCCTCTCGATAGAGAGGAAACAGACTTGTCTCAGAGGCACACCACAGTTATACATCTAAAAGGGGAAAGCCCATGTGAGGATGAAGTTACATGTTTAACTGTAATTGGGCATGTTATTCAGGTGAGCCAAAGTGGGCTTTTGATTGGTGGACTTCAACACTGATAGCTGGACTTTGATGGTCAACCTCAGAAGGAGGAAGTGGCCAAATAAAGGAATAGACCTTTAGAAATGTAAGCTGTTTTTAGTATGGGGAAGAAGGGCTAGGAATGCTTGCCATGCCCTGGCTGACTAGCATCCCTTCAAGAAAAATAAGGACAACAGAGCAGGAAAATGTCTCCATCTGAGAAGGCAGAACTAACTCTGAACTGCAGGCTGCTTTGTTAACATCTGACCCTTCCTGTTTTTCTGAAGAGTGCACATCTTGTCTTCCTTAGAAGTAAGCAATAACAATATCCACCTAGACAGCATTTTCTGATGCTAAAGATATAACTGGCCTGACCAGAAACATGCCAATCTCAGCTTCTGTAAAACTTGCTGAAGTCTGGAACAATCTCCTTTGGGGTTGGATGAAAAGAACACCCTAAGGTTATGAGAATGCCTAACCCCCTGCAAACCATGAGTTATTTCTGTTCTAGTCTGTGTCTTTTTAAGCAACAGCTGGAGGCTACGGCTGAACAGTACTTAAGTTTTTCCTTTATCTCTGAGTGCTGAGAGTGTCTCACTGGGAAGGTTGAAGTCCTCAGCCTCAACACTAAAGCAGAGAAACAGTCCCCACAGCGTACATTGTGACATGTCCCAAAAGCTATTGAAACTGGAAAGGACAGCATCCTAATAGCCTGCCCTCCATTCATCTTTAACAAACAGGCTATATGAGTGTCAGGTATCATACTCAGGACAAATGACAGTCATGCTTACTTAGCATAGGAAAGCAGACCTGGCATCCAGGCCCTCGAGGCATCTCTCAGTCTCTACCCATTATAGGGTATGACTACCACGCCCCACCCTGTACCATGGATTCTCCAGGGCAGGGGCTGGACAGCCCTTCCCCCAGAAGGTCTTTCCTGTATAATCCAGACATTTTGGCTACCCACCACTTTTGTACCTTTAACCTCCCGGCTGGGGTCTGGCTCTGTCTGGTCATGTCCACTCTGGACTCTCCCAGACATCCATACCTCTGACTGTGCTCTCACCAGTATCTGTGACAAACTTTCTCCTCTAACATGCCTAGGAGAAGTCATGTTCTTTCCTTTTTTTTTTTTTTTTTTTTTTTTTTTTTGGTTTTTATGAGACAGGGTTTCTCTGTATTGTTTTCGAGGCTGTCAGTCCAGCCCAGCCTCGAACTCACAGAGATCCACCTGCCTATGCCTCCCGAGTGCTGGGATTAAAGGCGTGCGCCACCACCGCCTGGCGTTCTTTCTTTTTTATGTCTTATTTTTTCATTACCCACCACTTTAATATTTTGTATTAGAAAAACACTTTTGGAAACTAGGCATGGTGGTATATGTATTTAACCCAGCACTAGGTAAAGGCAATGGCAGGTACACCTTTGAGTTCAAAGCCAGCCTAGAATGGACAGCGAGTTAGTGGAAAGCCAATGCTACACAGAGAAACCCAGTCTCAAAAAAACATAAAACAAAACAACAAACATTTGTGTTCTATGTATGTTTTACTATTAGCTTGACATATACACACTGATAGTGGTTTATTTGTCTTATGTTAACCTCTTCCGGCCCTCATGCCCCTTGAGGAGCACAAAGTTGACACCAGTAGACACTAGTGAATTTAACATTTCAATGTGTGAGCCCAAACATCCATAGAATGGGGCAAGAATACAAGGGATGATATATAAGCCACTTCCAAAACTTACCAGCTACCAAGACATCTCACCATGCCGGGTTGGTAGCCCTCACCCTACTGTGGGCTGGGAACTGGGCTCGCTGACAGAAACCCACCAAGAACTCACTGACATCAGCCAACACTAATCTCTTCTCCCCTCCCCATCTCTCCCTAGGTGTGATCATCGGTGCTGCAATAGGAGGAGGTATGTTTCCTGCACCTGCTGGGAGGCTGTGGGAGCTTTGTGCTTGGCTGTGGGCTCCACCCCAGCTCTTGCCTTCTGCTGGATTCTGGGGCTATCAGGGCCGGAGCTGTGCTCACTCATTCCAGGGATGAGCTTATGGTTTCCTGCCTAGTTTCTCCTCCAGGCCTTATATATGTAGAGGGAAAAGTAAATAATTTATTGAAGGAGGGGGCTAGGGGAAGCAGCTCCTGTAACTGCAGTAGTTATTTAACCCCTCATAAGCATGAGGCCAGTGAAGGATGATGACTTCCTAGTGTCATACACCTTAGTGAGACCATGGCTCTGTCAGATCTTCCTCTTTGCGGACACCTTGCCCTATCCTTGGGACCAATTGTCCTGCTGCTCACAATAAAAAGACCTCTGAAACACAGTCAAGGAATTTTCTTCCACCGGAGCCCACACCACCCAACTCTTCTCCCAACAGCTCTGGCTGTGATTGCTGCTCCCATAGCCCTGGGTACCATGGGCTTCACTGGGGCAGGAATCGCAGCAGCATCCATAGCAGTCAACATGATGTCAGCAGCAGCAATCGCCAATGGGGGTGGAGTTGCAGCGGGAAGCTTGGTAGCCACACTGCAGTCTGTGGGTAAGTGTCAGTCCAGGCAAGATGAGTGGAGACCCAACCAAGAAAGGCATCTCCCTTCCTCTCCCTACACTGCCACCTTTTATAGGACCTGCATCTTCTAGTTCTGTCGCTATTATCTGGTTCATTGGGAGTGAAGTTGGGTGTGGTGCAGGCAGAAGGGGCACTGGATGGCAGAAGCAGGGAGGAGCCCTGGTCTAAGATGCATGTTACCTAGGCTCTGAATCTTCCCTTCTCCAGTGTGTCCCCCTTAGGCCTGCTATGTAGAGGGGACATTCCTCTCTGGAGAGTTCCCCCTCCTGTATCTCAGTTTACCCAAGTATGTCTTCTCTTTCTGGTCCACTTTGAATATCTATGTCTAAAACAGAGCGTAGGGTTCAGACAAAAAGGCAGTGGGGACTCTCTAAACCTCAGGCCACTGTCACTGCACTGTCTTTTTTCCAGGGGTTGCTGGACTCTCTACATCATCCAACATCATCCTGGGCTCTGTTGGGGCTGGCTCTGTTGGGGCAGCTGTTATGGCCTTGCTTTGAATTTAATGAAGACACTTCTGCAGTTGAACCCACTGCCTATAAGGAATATTTAAAAACAGTGTACCACAAGATGATCCCTCAAATCCATCATTGAAGTCAGAGAAAGCTGAAAAATAAAGTTTATATGCTGGTATGCCTATCTTTGCTTGTGGAGACTCTTTGAAGGGACTTGTGGACTTTCAAGTCTTCAGGTTTCCTAAGACAGACTCAGGCAGGAGATCAAAGGTTGGGCTAACAGAGGTTGCTGACCTGGGGCAGAGGTGAGAGAAAGCCTAGAACACTGACCCCAGAGTTCTTGGTCCTTCTTCATCAATGGTTCTGGATGTGCAGGGCTATGAGCAGCACATAGCTACCCCACTGTACCAGGGATGCCCTGGGCTAAGCTACTGCCCTGCTACCTCAGGAAGGAGATAGAATCAAAAAAACCACCACCACATAATGCCTATAAAATTGAAAAGGAGAGTGAAATTCCTGCCTTACGTCCTGGGACCCTGACCACAACTCACCCAAGGTGGGAGTCATCGCCCATGTGATGCAAAATGCAGTGTTGCACAGGGTCCACAACAACACACAAAGGACTTTGAGGCAGGAGGATTCTGGCATTTTTGAGACAATTTTGTCACAGGACACTGTGCACTGTGGTGACAGGTACCAGGCACATTCATGTAAATCAGAGGCTGGGATCTGATCTCATGAAAAGATATAGAAATAAGGGACATGGAGAGGCATGCAGAAGTCTATCAGGGGAAGCACACACACACAGAGATAAGGTTGTGTGTGGGCTTCTGTTAGCTCAGGTCTCATGGCTTGGACTGCATCAGTCACTTCCAGGCAGGGAAGGAGAGGCTCTGTTGGGTTATTGCATGACAGCAGGATGCCTGGACTGATGCTAAAGTTTTATGGAAATGAGTGTGGGCTGGTCCAGGAGAAGTGCATCATTCAGGGGTTGGCTACCCACCTCTCTGGGGTCCCCCCTCAAAAGGACCTCAACAGGCTATGTGGTGATATGAATGGTTTCTCACCCAAAGTCAATTTGTCAGCTTCTTTTATTAACGTAGCTGTGGTGCCCTATGTACAGAAACAGGATCAAGTCTGATGGACAGATGGGCCACTGGCCTCTTCCAAGGTTATAATACCTGATTAGGACACCTGCCCCCTTTGAAATCATTTACATAGGACAGGATGCCCTTGTCCCCTTTCCTGGTGTCTCTGACTTCCCCTGTGGGATCTCTTCTATATGTCTCTCTGAACACTGCAGCTACTGCTCAGGTCAAATCTTTTGTTTTGCATTTTTCCCTGCACAACAATAGTTATTGTTAACTTTTTGATCAATCTCCAATAATTGAGACCCATTCCTATCCTCAAACTCTTCTAACTTCGGGAGTTTCTTTCTAATACGTGGGCCTGACTGCATGACAAAGCCAATACTGGTTTTTCACTGCTTTTCTGGTCCCTCTGGGTCTATGGGAGTGAACATCAGGTGAGGGTCACACAAGCCCTTTGGGAACCCAATAGGTGATGCCTGGGACTCTTGTATTATCTCTGTCACCTTAGGCAGCTTGGAAATGTTTCTAGCAGCTTCCTTCAATACATGAAACAATGGCCTGACAAAAACTCTTCAGAGGCTCCTTATCTTGGGCAGTGTTGGACTCCCAGTCAGGTCAGACTGAGAGAAAACCCCCTCTAACTGGACTACCCTGACTGGCAGTGATCCTCTGTCAGGCCCAAGGGTGGTTTATCTACTGCATGCTCCAGTCTGCCCCTCCCTTTGGCCATGAAGAGGGTGTCCAGGAGCTGTTGACAGTCATCCCAGGTCACTGGTGGGTATAAAAAAACTGTCTCTAGGAGTCTAATGAGGGTCTGAAATTTTTCAGAGAATACTGTGTTTGTAATCTTCCAATTATACACATCACTGCTTGAAAAGGAGATATGAATTATGACATGGAGACCGGACAGCCGTTGGCTCTTGGGACACTGGGAAGGGGATGCCTCCCTTTGAGGGAGGATGAGGACAGCCTCTGCTCCAGGGAAATCCCTCCTGGCACTCCAATTGCCAGAACCACTGTGTGTGTGTGGAAGGAAGTGCGGACCCAAGCTAGAAGAGACTACTGCTTCCTGAGGCCAAGTGTGACACATGGTCTCCTCCTCAAGCATGAAAGGGGAGTGGCATCTTGCTTTTGACTGTTTTGGGTGTTGGGTCACCTGGGGATCAGCTGCTGCTTCTGTCTGCATCTTTAGGAAGTCACACACTTGCACTTCCTGCCTAACTTAGTAATGATATTTTCCAACTCAAGTCTTTGATGAGGTTGAACACTAAACCGTCACAGCTAATATCCTCTCTTATCTCAGATGAAAAGTACTAGGCAAAACATTTAGACTTTCCAGATTAGGACAGCTTTCAGAGTAATCTCTCTTATATGCCACTACCCTGGGACTGGACATGAGGAATGGGTCTATTGCTCAGTGTTGCTCTTGCTGGTTGTAGGTCTTAATTTATATATGTCTTTACCTTTCCTTCTCCTTACTCTTATCTCCGTAAGTGATTACCTCATAAATACCTATTTATCAATTATCTCTGCCTGTCTTTGTGTCTGTGTTCATGCACGTGCGCGCGCGCGCGTGCGTGCGTGCGTGCGTGCGTGCGTGTGTGTGTGTGTGTGTGTGTGTGTGTGTGTGTGTTTTAAAGGTCAGTCAGGATAGAAATCAATCTAGAGGGAAACCATCTACTCAGAGATAATCAGATGAGAGGAGAACAGGTGCCTATTTCCCTGTGGTTTTCAAACCTCCACCAGGACTCTGACTCATTGCAAGGAGTGGTGCTTGTCCCTATTGGTTCACCAACAAGAGTCCCTCCTTCTCTCTTCAGACTTAAGTCACTTCCTAGGCTTACCTGCTACCAACACATCTCACCATGAAGAAGAGTTAGTAACCCTCAGCACTGGTGTGGGCTGGGAACTGGGCTCCCTGACACAAACCCACCAAGAACTCACTGATAGCAGCCAACACTAATCTCTTTTACCCTCCCCATCTCTCCCTAGGAACTATCGTCAGTGCTGCAATAGGAGGAGGTATGTTTCTTGCACCTGCTGGGAGGCTGTGGGAGCTTTGTGCTTGGCTGTGGGCTCTGGCTCAGCTCTTGCCTTCTGCTGGACTCTGGAGCTGCCTGGGTGAAGAGGTACAGGGCCATAGCTGCGCTTGATCCCTGGGTGAGCTTAAAGTTTACAGAGCAGCTGACGGTTTCCTTACTGACTTCTACAGGCCTTATACATGATGAGCAGCAAGTAGAAAATTCATTGAGGAAGGGGAGGGCAGCTACTTAAAACTGTATGGGGTAGTTAATTTCACCCCATAAAATCTTGAGGCCCAGTGAAGGATGATGACTTCCCAGTGTCACATACCTTGGTAAGACCATGGCTCTGTCAGATCCTCCACTGACCTCCTTACCTCCACTTGGCACCCTGCCTTGGGACCCCCTTCCTTGCTGCTCAGAATAGAAAGACCCCCTCAAACAGTCCAGGAATTGTTGAGTGGGTCTTCCCCTGAGCTCATACCACCCTACTCATCTCCCTACAGTTGGGGCTGTGATTGCTTTTCCTGTTGTCCTGGGTGCTGTGGGCTTCACTGGGGCAGGAATTGCAGCAGGATCCATGGCAGCCAAGATGATGTCAGCAGCAGCAATCGCCAATGGGGGTGGAGTTGCAGCAGGAAGCCTGGTAGCCATATTGCAGTCTGTGGGTAAGTATCAGTCCAGGCAAGATGAGTGGAGACCCAGCTAAGGAAGGCATCTCCCTTCCCCTCCCTACACTGCCACCTTTTATAGGACCTGGGTCTTCTAGTTCTGTCGCTATTATCTGGTCCATTGGGAGTGAAGTTGGGGTGTGGCGCAGGCAGAAGGGGCACTGGATGGCAGAAGCAGGGAGGAGCCCTGGTCTAAGATGCATGCTACCTGGGCTCTGAATCTTCCCTACCTGGGTGTCCTTATCCAGTGTGTCCCCCTCTGTCCTGCTATGTAGAGAGGGCAGTCCTCTCTGAAGAGCTCTCCCTCCTGTATGTCAGTTTAACCAAATCTGCCTTCTCCTACTGGTCCACTTTGAGTATCTCTGTCTAAAGCAGAGCCCTAAGGTTCAGACGAAAAGGCAATGGGGCATCTCTAAACCTCAGGCCACTGTGTGTACCTGTACTGTCTCCTTCCCAGGGGCTGCTGGACTTTCCACAACATCCAACATCATCCTGGGCTCTGTTGGGGCAGTTGTTGGGGCATCTGTCGAGGAAGGTGTTGAAGTCTTGCTTGAATTTATTAGACGACAGTTGAACCAAACAAAGAATAAGAGAAAATAGTGTACCCCCAAATGAGCCACCAAAACCTACACTGAAGTCAGAGAAAGATGAAAAATAAAGGTCTTGTACTGGTGTTCTTACCTTTGCTTCTGGTCCCTTCGTTGAAGGGACTTGTGGACTGGGAGTGCCAAGTCTTCATGTTTTCTAAGACAGTCTCAGGCAGGAGATCAAAGGGAGGTGACAGGTTGGCCAGCACAGTGAGTGTGCTTTAGGCCTCCTGCCTCACTGGAGATGGTCTGTATGGCATGGGTTTTTTTCCCTGCTCTTCATAGAGCTTATTCTTTCCTGATTAAAGGTTGGGCTAACAGAGGTTGCTGTCCTGGGGCAAAGGTGAGAGGAAGCCAAGAACACTGACCCTAGAGCTCTTGGTCCATCTTCATCTATGATTCTGGATATGCAGGGCTATGAGCAGCACATAGCTACCCAACTGTACCAGGGATGCACTGTGCTAAAGTACTGCCCTGGTCCTCTGGAAGGAGATAGAATAAAAAAAGGTCACCACTGTACAATGTCTGCAAACTTGAAAAGGAGGCTGAAATTCCTGCCTTATGTCTTGGTACCCTGTCCACACCCTCACCCAAGGGTGGTAGTCATTGCCCATGGGATGCAACAGGCAGTGCTGGGAAGAGTCCACAATGACACACAAACAGCTAGAGACCAGGGGAATCTGGAAGACTCCATGAAGGAGGGACAAATGGATGGGACACGGTAATGCATACAGAAGTCTATCTCGGGAGCACACACAGAGATATAATGTTGCGTGTGGACATCTGTTAGGTCAGATCTGATGGGCTGGACTGCATCAGTCACTTCCAAGCACTCAAGAAGAGCCTCTGTTGGATAATTGTCTGTCAGCACACTGGCTGGATTCATGGCTGAAGTTTTACAGAAATAGGTGTGGGTTTGGCCCAAAAGAGATTGATAATGCATTATTCTAGCACTGGCTGGGTCCCCCTTTAAAGGGGCATCAACAGGGTATATGTCGTTAGGAATGGTTCCTGGCCCAAATTCAATTTTTCAGCTTCTTTTATTAGCATAGATGTAGGGGCCAACCAACAGAAACAGGATCAAGTCTGTTGGACAGATTGGGCACTGACCTCATCTAGGTCACAATTCTTCAACTAGGACACCTACCCCATTTGCAAATATTTACATAAGACAATATACCCTTGTCCCTTTTCCTTTCCTGGTGTCTCTGACTTCCCCTCTGGGATCTCTTCTATATGTCTCCCTGAGCACTGCAGTTACTGCTCAGGTCAATCTTTTGTTTTGCACTTTTTCCTACATAGTCATAGTTATGGTGTATCTTGTGAGTGATCTCCAGTAATTGGGACCCATTCATATTCTCAAACCCTTCTAACTTGGGAAGTTTCTTTCTATTATCTGCGGTTGACCGTTGCTCACTGCATTTCTGGTCCCTCTGTGTCTGTGGGTGTGAACATCATGTGAGGGTCACACAAGCCCTTTGGGAACCCTATACATGATTCCTAGGACTCTTGTATTACCTCTGTCACCTTACACAGCTTGGAAATGTTTCTAGAAGCTTCCTTCAATACATGAAACAATGGCCTGACAAAAACTCTTCAGGTGCTCCTTATCTTGGGCAGTGTTGGACTCCCAGTCAGGTCAGACTGAGAGAAAACCCACTCTAACTGGACTGCCCTGACTGGCAGTGATCCTCTGTCAGGCCCAAGGGTGGTTTATGTACTGTCATGCTCCAGTCTGCCCCTGCCTTTGGCCTTGAAGAGAGTGTCCAGGAGCTGTTGACAGTCATCCCAGGTCCCTGGTGGGTATTAAAAAAACTGTCTCTAGGAGACTAATGAGGGCTTGGAATGATGGGGGACAGTCCTTCTGTGTATATGTTGTCCTATTGATTGATTAATAAAGCACTGTTGGCCAACAGGGAAGCAAAATAGGCAGGACTAGGAGAGAAGGGAGGTTCTGGGAAATGTAGTCAAGGGTAGGAGTCGCGATGTGATCCCAGGAGGAAAGAACGCAAGTCTGGCGTTCTTGGTAAGATAAGACCTTATAAAAATATATATTAGTAATTATAGGTTAATAATTAAGTCAGAGCTAGCCGATAAGAAACCATAACAAACAGCCAACAGCTTCATAATTAATATAGTATCTTGTGTGTTATTTGGTGGCTTAAGTGGAGATGGGACACAAGCGGGATCCCACAACACTGGAGCTTTTCAGAGAATGGTGATTTTGAATCTTCCAATTATACACTTCACTGCCTGAAAAGGAGATATGAATTTTGAAATGGAGACAGGAGAAACTTTTGGTCTTAGACACTGGGACAGGGAGTTGACTCCTTTAGAGGGAGGATGAGGACTACCTCTGCCCCAGGGAAATCCCTCCTGGAACTCCAATAGCTAGAACCACTCTGTGTGTGTAAGTGAGTGGGGACCCAAGCTAGAAGAGACAACCGCTTCCTGAGACCAAGTGTGAACAGTGGATTACCACCCCCACCTTGGCATGGCCAAGGGCTCTGCTGGGCACATAAAAGGGGAAAGTTATTTTCCTCTAGTGGGGCTACAGGACTGAGAGAATAGGCAGAGGTTTGGGTTTCTCTGGTAACTTAGCTGTGACAGAAGTGTTTAAATCCTGGCCACCAGAAATAATCACTGCATACATAGTGGGGAGGGTGGTACGAATGCAAACCAAGCCATGGCTTTGAGATGGGTGCACAAGACAGATACCATGCTGAACTCCTCATAGGGACCGAGTCAACCCCATCTGGCCATGATCTCAGAAGTCATTTAGGTGAACTCCCCACCTTGGGAGTAGCCAAGGAGGAGGTGACCTTGGAAGAGTTATCAGGGCAGAGGGCAGCTTCTGTTTTCACTTTTCGACTCATTCCACCTGACACTCAACCATACCATGTGTCTCTGTGACAAGATGTGGGAAAAGGAGGTGAGCCTAACCCACCCAAGTCCCGGGAAGCAGAGAGGCAGGGCCCTGAGCAACCTTTACCCTGCAAACAGCACACATGATGTTAAGGTTATGATAAGGTAGACAACAAATTGGTTCTATTTCTTATTTCCGATTAGGCTTGTGGCCTTTACAGATTGTTCCTTGGGATTAACTGATCCCTCTTTTGGTTGAAAAAACTGGGCAGTGTACCCTCTGCCTCCATGTCCCCTCCTGGAGGAGAGAAGGGCTGGAACTCACAAATGCCCATCACACGGGCCATGAGAGAAGACCCTGCAGAGCCCAAGAGTAATTTGGATGACATGGACAGTCCAGCGGCTCCTGCGGAAGAAACAAAGGATGAAATACATGAAATGGGGTGAAACTATGGGTTCAGAGAGGTCATAGTTGGCAGGGTCACTCAGGATGGCCTGAGGTACAGGTCTCATAATATCAGACCTATTTCAAAACTCTCCAGGATCTGTGTCTAGCACAGTTACTTTCACAAGGAACTGTTCCCTGCAGGAATTCTAGGGGAAATCAATCCAGTGGGATAACACCCCCCTCTGTAGGGAAGAAGGCTGGACCCCAGGTGGAGGTTTGAGCCCCAGGTAAACTGGTCAGGGATCCTCCCCTCTTTCTTCCACTTGGGCTGTTTCTTGCCCTCCCTCTCATCTTCCTGCCATGACACTTACCCACTGACATCAGAGTGGCCACCAATCCACCAGCTGCAACACCGTCCCCATTAGCAATGGCTGACTAGAATGGATGCACGGATCAAGAATCACGGGACTATGCTCAGAACAGGTTAATATCATTTTATTCGGGAGAAGTCAGTTACACAAGAAGCAGGTGACTGCCATAAGTCCCCACTCCAAAGATCCACCCAGGCTGCATTCGCTAGCCCGGCCAGAAGCAAGGAAGAGCTCCCTGTGCTACAACCCCAGACCTAAAACCACTGTCATGTTGGCACCTGTGACCATGCCCAAATGGGTGTGGTCAGCGCTATAGATGCCGGCTGGGTGGATGTCTCACTACAGACAAGGACATCATCTTAGCAGCTAGAGAGGAGGCAGCAATTCCTGTCCCTGTGAAGCCCACAGCACTCAACGCGGGGGGCACAGCAGCTACAGTCATGGCTGTGGGAAGAGCAGCTGTGTCAGGTGATTTGTGGAAAGGGAACCCCAACATACTGGGTCAAACATGGGGACCTGCTGGGGTCTGGAGGAGGAGAGAATGAGCAGAGAAGCCTGGGTCAGGACTTTCCCTCTTCCCTCTGAGGTCTCCTCGGTGAAGCCCAGAGAGCAAAGGTAGAATTCGAGGCAAGAGTCAGGCTCTGAACCAGTGATGGCGCATGCCTTTTATCACAGCACTTTGTACGCAGAGGCAGGCAGACATCTGTCATTTCGGGGCCAGCATGGTCTTTAGAGCTAGTTCCTGAATACGGCGGAAGTCTACACAGAGAAACCTGTCTCAAAAGAAACCAACAAACGAAAGAAAGAAAAACAAAAATCAAACAAAGCAAAAGTTCTTTTACAAACACACATATAGCCAAGAAAATATCATGGACCTACAATTAGCATATAAAATCTGCTCATACATAACAGAGGCCTGTCTCAGAAAGAAGGGCACCCCAAATCTTCAGGCAGGCTATGTGAGGTGAGTTTTGGGGTGTAGGTGTTGAAACAGGTCTCAGAGTTCAGGAGTATGGAGGGTGGCTATCAGGAGCACCTAGGTGCTGGCATGCACCAGGATTATCCCCAAGTCACCCTAGTCACATGTAATCTGATTCCTACCTGTCTCTAGCCATGCCCAGCCATGAGCCTGGAACAGTGTTGTGTCCAGCCAACCTCTTCCACCAAACCTGAAAACGGGAGTGAAGATTTGAGAAAAGAAAGAGACAGAAGAATAGAGCCACAGGGCTGCCAGTGAATACTGTAAAAGGAGCCCGAAGTTTATTACTCATAGTTCTCACATAACCCAATCAAAAGGGGCGGGCAAAAGACTTCCCTACCGTGACCCAAGGAACAAACAAACCTAATTTAGCCTTGTTAATACCCAATACATCACGAAACCATGCCACATCAAGACATCCGGTAGCCACACCTTTGGCCAAACATCCTGTTATTTAACCTTGAGGAGAAAGAATATGTGTGAACTCTCTGACCTTAAGTCAAGACGGATTGGGGCAACATCTGTGGGAGCATCATCTGTGGCTGCCCCCAGAACAGGTTTTGCCCCTTTAGCCAGAAGGTCTCCCAGGTGTTGGCCCTCGCACAATTGAACTTTCCCAGCTGTGTGCACACTATCTAAGAGGCAAAACTACTCCTCCCGGGTTCTAGGCATGGTATAAAGTGGCCTCAGGACACATGCCCAAATCCTCTCTAACTGACAGAGTTCCCTCGAAGTGCCTATAAGGGGCAAAACTCTGGTGAGATATCCGCAGGGAGCAGTCTCAGGAGAGGGCGTTCCTAGAGGGGGGGCAGTGCTAGGGGCTGCTCTCCTCATACAGTGGACCTGGTTTTCACCTTGCCTGGAACTCCCAGGAAACCTAAAGCCTGGGGTTTGGAGTCCTCAAATGCCATTGGATTCATTTTGGCTGTAATTTCAGTTGGTAACTGGTTTCTGTCTCTCTGCCTTGATCACTACACAGGCTTCTCTATGCTCTGGCCTTTGAACTTTCTGTGTGGCCCAAGGGAGGACTGGAGCATCTGTCACACCATCCCCCCCACCCCTCCCAGCCCACCCCCAACCCGCACCTCTGTGCTGCAGTGCTGGGATAGCTGGAGAGGAGCTGGCCCTAGGCAGCTGGGTTCTCCTGCCTTGTACTGCAGCTGCTGCTCTCCCATGGGTTAGGGAGGGGCTCTTTTAGACCCAGAGGCTCCTCTGCTGGCTGCAGGGTGAGTGTGGATGTAGCACTGGGGCCTTCTGGTTCTTTGAAGTCATTCTACGCAGCCCAGGTAAGCATTGCTTACTGAGGTCATCCTTTCTCTCATGGGCATAAGTCTCTCAACTGGTGCCTGTTGCCCTCCTATCCAGCTCGTACAGACTGCATCCCCTGGTCACTGGCCCTCTCCCTCCAGAGTCTTCTATGGCTCTCTCTATCCCACATCAAAGCCCGGTCCAGAATGAAGGAGCCTCCTCTCTCCCGTGTGAGCCATGTCAGCACCTTCCAGCTGAAGTCCCCAGTCCTATTGACCATGTCTCTCATCTGTCATGGTGTGTCTTGTGTTCAGAGAAAGGAGCTGGAACAGTCATTCCTGACTTGGGGAGCAAAGTGGACTCCAGCCTCCTCCACCAGCGGTTGCCGGAATTTCTCTTCTTCCAGGGCGGGACACACAGCAGGGATTTGACAGTGGCTTCCCTGTGTGGGATTCAGCATCATTGTGGGCACTATCTAGGATCATATAGATAGCTCCTTTATCTGAATCTTTTCTTAGGGTCATGTCTGTGGGAGCTGGGTCCTGGCTGGAACTTCTCAGCCCAGGCAGGTGTTTCTGCAATGCCGTAGTGTCCAGGTGGTTAGCTTGGTGAGCTTCACTGGCCTCGGGAGCTCATCAGAGCACCATACTTCATTGCTGGAGTACTTAGCTCTCTGAGTACTTCCCCTTCCTCTCCTCCCTGGGCCTCCAGCCCTACCTAAGGGCATGCTCCGGGGTCCTTGAAGGTTCTCCAACCTGCTCTGTCTACCAGGAGCGCCAGACCCCAGCCTTTCCTTATTGCACATCTGCATTCTAGAGGCAGGAAGTATGGTTTGGTGTGGCAGCGATGAGCACTGAGGTTGAGTGGTTTCAGAGCTGTGACTCTACTGCTCCCTTACCTTGAACTCAAAAGGGGCTGTATCAGGTCAAGTTTTAACTTGAGCCTGCGGCAGTTAGAACGCCTGTTCAGAGGCCTTATGCCTATTTATGGAGGCGAAGCTCCCACCCCGAGCCAGGCCCAAATCACCATCCCCTGTGAACTCTGGCTCCTTCCCCCTTAGCACTCCTGCATCCGGGTCCTCACAACTCTGAACTGACTTCCACTGTCCCTGCTGACTATGGCTGTGGGGCAAAGTGGTGGGTCTGGGACCTCCAATTCCCTCTGAGCCCTGCCTGATGGCAGTAGAGACTGGGGACATGGCAGATAGGGTAACAGAGCCATCTCCTCCAGGAAGGCTTTCTGTGCTGTACAGATTCCTGCTGTCTAAGCATCCACCCTGGCATTCAGGTCTGTATTTCTGCAGCTCTGGGTGCTTGTCTGCTCTGTGTCCTTGGTGGAGCAAATCCTCACCCGGTAACTCCCTGCCTGGACTGAGACTGCCCCCACATGAGAACTTTGGTTGGGAGACCCTGGGCCCAGACTGATCTGCTTGAAGGAGGATGGGCATTGGGGTCTAGAGCAGGTCTATGACATCACATATTTCCTATCTGGTCATCTGTGACCTAACGGCACTACTGGGTGGTGGCCCTTTCTGAGGACTCCATGGAGCAGTCCTACCCCTGGGTCCCATCTCAAGAGGCCTCCTGGGGGAGCAGAAGGTTCACAGAGCTGGACCACTTGTATGTCTACTGTGGCCTTCCTGGAGTGTTATAGAGTACCTAGAAGGGCCCAGGGCTGCAGTTGGGCATCTCTTGGGGGTAAGTACCTAAAGTGCTATCTGACCCAGGTATGACCTTGAAGGATGCTGGCTGCTCTGGAGTCTCCTTTCAGGTAGGAGGATGTCACGACCACCTCGACCAGCAAGGAAGACGCAACTCAGGAATCCTTCTCACAAGCAGTTTATTCAGGACCTTGATGAACAATGCGGAGGCAGCCCCCAATTGATCCCCTTAGCTGAGGCCAGCCAACCCTAAACAGCCACGTGTGCGCAAACCATAGGCTCAGTAACATGCATAAGCAGTCTGATGATCATGGCGTGATCCTGGCGGGATGGGAGCAGGCCAAATAAGGAGTTGTTTATCACTGAGAGCGCTCACCGTCGGGATGGTGGAAGGTGGAAGCCAGCGCCATCTTTAGGGTGCGGCGTGGTGCAGCTCTCCACAGGAGGAGGAAGCATTGTTTCACCAGGTATGCCACAGATATGACCCATAGCCATGTGCCTACTGTAGGCATTTTGGACAGATCAGATGGGACAAATATTCTGGCACTCGGGAGTCACAGAATACCGAGTGTTACACAGCTCAGATGGAAAGGTATCCTGGAGCTCGGGAGCCAAGGACCACCACAGGTTGCAGTAAGCTTAGCAGTTTACAGCCCTGCCTCAGAAAGGCTTCCCCAGTGTATCTGCTCTGCTCTGGCAGGAGAGGGTCTTCCCGCTGGGAATGTTTGCCCAGTGTAGCAGTTTTTCTCTGGCAGGAGAAAGTTACCCCCGGAGAAGTTGCTACAGTTCAGCTCTGCTCCTGGAGAGTGGAGAGCCGAGTGTAACAACTCCACTCTGCCAGGGGAAGGTTTCCCCAGCAGAAGTGTTACAGCCCGGCTCGCTCTGCTCTGCCCAGGGTCATCTCTGCTGCACGGTAAAAAAGGTCTTCACCCAAAGCTCATTGAAGGGGTTTATTTGGAGAGAAGAATCCAAGAGAGTGGCTGTCCTCTGCCAAAGTGGCATCGCGAACAGCCACAGGGTTTATATAGGGCTTCCAGGGTGGGGATTGGTCCGATTTTAATCTCCTGCTCAGGGATTGGTTAGTTTTCTGCATAGGGTTAGGGTCAGATTTGGCTCTGGTTTCAGGGCCAAAGTGTGTTTCTTTCTCTGGTCCTTTTTAGTCTTTTGGCTGTAGTTTTAGGACCAGGGTGCATTTCTTTCACTGGCTTTGATTCCAGGGACAAAGTGTGTTTCTTTGGCTCTGCTCAGGGTGTGTTTCTTTGGCTGGCCCCTTTTCTCTACACCTACCCCGGACCTACCGTACAGGAGCCTAGGTAAGTCCGTTGCTCCAGTCACCTCTGAAAGCCCCTGAGCTGAAGCCAAGTGTCTGCAGTGGTGCTAGGCCTGCTTGGTAACATGAGGTCCAAGGGTAGTGTCTGGCGCTCCTGGGTAGGCCAGGTGACTGAACTAGGGCTGGATGAGGAGGGAGTCAGGCTAATCTCAGGCCTGAGCAACTTCTAAATCCCCAAGGCTCAGGTCTGGGCTAGTCTTTAACCAGCTTTAAAAGAACAATCATTAGGTACATTGGAGCACATGATTCATCAACAAATACAATGTTGCTGCCTGCCTCGGTTGTTTTAATTTCAGCACAGTGGCTGCATCTTAACCTACTGCTATTTCAGCCAGCAATTGCAACTCCTCAGTTACCGGACCGCTTCTCTAGCAGAGGCCTGGCTGTCGTTATTTTGCTTAAGCTAGAAAGGCACGAGATGGAACACGAACCAAGAGATACATTAACCGTAGAGTTTATTAAAGGGTGGGGAGTGTGGGAGGGGGAGAAGAGAGAGAGAGAGAGATGAAGGGAGAGAGGGAAGAGAAGAGTAAAGGTGAGAGAGTGGACAGAAGAGGGTAAGAGAGAAGAGAGGTAAGAAGAGTGAGTGAGAGAAGAGAGCACGAGAGAGAGAGAGAGAGAGAGAGAGAGAGAGAGAGAGAGAGAGAGAGAGAGAGAGAGAGAGAGAGAAGAGTGCATAAGTGGGTGGGGTCTGTCTTTTAAAGGCATCCTTTGCACCTGCGTGCAGACTGGTTGTCATGGGACTCTGGGCTGGTCAGAGGGCTGCCTGAGGAACAGGGGCAGGCCAGTATGATGCCTGACCCTTTCACTGACTACTCAGGTCACAGCCTAGCCAGAATTGTTCCCTCAGGTACCACTCAGTCGCTGCCAGTAAAGGTAGCTTTAACTAAATCTCTATCGTTCTATTTATGAATAAGACTCGAGATTCAAAGGCTGGAGTGAAAACCTGGGAGCTCAGAGAGGCTGAGTAGCAACTGACCCTCTTTCCTTGCTGGTGTCTCCAGAACACCTCACCCCTGCGTCACCAAACCAGAAAAGGCTGTGCCATTCCAAAGCCCACCCTACTACTTCCTCTCTCTCTCTCTCTCTCTCTCTCTCTCTCTCTCTCTCTCTCTCTCTCCCTCCCTCCCTCCCTCCCTCCCTCCCTCCCCCCATGCCCTCCAATGCTCTAATACTTTCTGCCAACTAACTGTTGACTCAGCCTCCTGACCTAAGGTTAATTTTATTTAATTAACACAAAGGCAAACTCAGGGTTTACAGGGCAATCGAATGTCCGCCCAATGTGCCTCTTCCCATATAGCAGCCGGGATGCTAAAGAATGAGCCATATATTTGATCAGCAACGTGTTTGTTTATGATTGCCGAATGGGAGAACTGACCATAAATGGCTTCTACATATGCTCAATAAATATACTTATGTTATTGCTTTCCTCAGTTTTATCTTTGCCTTCCTTAGTTTTATCTTTCGGGTTGGGCCTTAATGGATGAGTGGAAGGAGATAGGACAAGGTGGAAGGAACTTTCCGTGGGGAAAGGATGGGGGAGCTGACTCATGTGCTTTGGTCTTGACAGGACCAGATGAGGTGACATGAACCCAGTGGCCCAAAAGGTAATGCTTAAATGTGACAAACCATATAGCAAGACACACTATTAGGTTAGGGACCAGGAAAACAGCTTCCTGGGTTGTTTTAAGTCTGTTGTAGTAAAATCAAATACCAATTTTGAGAGGGAAAAAGTTATTTTTTGCCTAGGAATAAATGAAATTTCTTGGGCTGTAGACCCACAAGATGTGGGCTGCAGTTTCTTCCCATCATTGCCTGAATTTGAGATGGTCAAAATCCCAGTGACTGGCCGTTATGCATCTATCTTTCTGGGCAGCCCCATTCAACAGGCAGGTTTACACAGCTCTCATTTGACTAGCAGGCTGGTTTCAGCTGTGTGAACCAGGTCATCACGGGAACTTCCCATACTTGTGGAGTAGGGGAGCCCTCAGATTTGAGTAATCAAGTGTTCTTGCGTGACTACTTTGGGTCCTCTTCCGTAGAACCCACATCCTGGTGGATGTGTGTGGGAGATGCTGTAATCCCCAATTTTAGATCAAAGCACTCTTGGAGGCTTTTTTTTTTCCAAAATAAAAGTCTTTATCATGGTCCCAGGCCTACTTGCTCACTCCCTACTCGAAGAGAAGAGTAGCGGGGATATTGGAATGCACGGACAATTCCTAGGGAATAAGGAAATGTTGAATTCAACCATAGTCGACCAATTGGAACAGACAAAATGTTCATGAAAAATTCCCAAAGCAGAACTGCAGGTTTACAAAAGAGTTTAAGGCGCAGCCAATTTCTTAAGATTTAGAACACATTTGGTGTTCTGTGTTAATCACCGGTTAATCACCTCATGCTTTCCAGTCTCTAGGGTTACAACCCCACTGTGACAGGCTTTACATTCCCATGTCTTATGGTCCCTAAGGAAAATGTTTCATCTCCTGCTTTACTTAGGGAGGTCAATTAATCCTTTAGCAAACATTGGGTTAACTTTCACAAGCTACCCCAGTCACTATTTTCTTTTTTGTTTGTTTGTTTGTTTGACAGGGTTCCAGGTTCAGGCATTACGCTGGCCTGGCCCTGTCACCTGGCAGAATGCACTCAAGCAGTGCTCTGGTCAGCACAGGGTTTCATGAGAGCTAGCCTGCAGGCAGGTGCAAAGAAAGGGCCCCTTTAAGAGACGGCCCCGCCCACTTATGCTCGCCTGCCTGCTCTGGTCTCAGCTCCCACTTTCTCATCTCTACCCCTCTCATCTCTCTCATGTCCCCTCTCCCACCCTGTAATAAGCCATGGTTAATGTATCTCACCCATCTCGTGTTCCATTCTCGCCATAGTAAACTTAAACAAACAAACAAACAAACAAAAAAAAACAACGGGGTCTCTCATATGGTAGCCCAGGTGGTTGTCCTTGAACTCCATCCAGTCTTCCTGCCCCAGCCTCCCAAATGTAGGATCACAAAGGTGAACCCCAGGCTAGTGCCAACCTCTGACTTCGTTGTGGTTTTTGGTTGTTGTTGTTGTTATTGCTGTTATGTTTGCTTTCTGTTTTTGTCTTTTTTGTTACTATAACCCCATTCGCTTGGTACATGTTAGCCATGTAAGGAATACTTGCCCAGAATCGGCAGTGTCAAATGATACCCAGACCTCCCCATTCTCCTTTCTCTTCAGGTTGGGGGAGAAGTGGGGGGGGGGGATGATGAAATGGAGCTAAAGGTTACAAGGCATCCAGGAGCCTAAGGGCACTGCATTATGTGTGTGCCAGCTGCCTGCTTTCACTGTGTCCTGTGCCAGATCCTAGAAACGACACCTCACATCCTCACATCAGTGTCCCCCTCCCCCCCGGGGTGTAATTTCCCGAATACTAAGGGGGGACTGGGAGTTTCTGTGTACAGACGGTCTTTCCTGGGGGTGATAGCCTTCCAAATCTTTACCCCCACCCCAACAACTGTCCTTGGACTTGTTTTTGAATGTTTTTGGACCAGCAAAGACATAAACTTGGCTTTGTCAACAAGGATAGTGTGTCTAGCCAGATGGCTCTGAGGGCTTTGCCCCAAGGCTGACCTAGCCCCGCCTCCTCCCATGAGGCCTTGCAAGACTGTCCTTTCTCAGCAGGGACTCTGGCACCCCCTCAACAGTCAGAGAAAGGGTCCAGATGCTGCAGACACTCATCATCGTAAAAGATGTGTTGCTTCTGCTTAGGGCGTGAGTGTCCGCAGGAGGAGGGCCCATGGGCTCTGCAGGGTCTACCCAGCATCCCGTGAACAAAGGCAGGAGATGAGCAGTGCTTCCTCAGGACTTCCCTGCTGGCTGCTAGTTTTTATGTCCATACAATTGTCTCTCTGAGCAAGGAAAAGCAACAGGTTATTTCCTTTCAGTCATTATACTGATTCTTAGTAAGGAGTCCAAAGCCCAGGCTTAAAACATGGTGCGCCCCCTCTCCCCTTGGCTGTGGTTCCCTTTATCTGTAAGTAACAAGTGTATTGTGGTTCACATCCTTCCATGTGTTTGAAAGGGAAAGCAACTGCCAAGGTGTTAGGTGACAAACCTTAAGATAACAACTGCCATTGCCTTGAGCATCAGCTAGCAAAGATGGCCATTGCGGAAACAGAAACCTGACTCTAGCGGTTCCCAGAAACCTCGTGACTAAGAAGGGGGGGGAGGCTTGTTTATCAGATAAATGTAGTCTTACTAAAAGGTCATGCACCATGGGCCAATGGACATCTGCTAATCATAAACTGGCCTGATTGTGACAGGCACATCCCCCTCCAGGCAGGCACAACCTGGGACCCTATCCTATCCAAGACAGGGAAAAAACAATCTCGGAGAGGAGTGAACCGATCTGCCCCTCAAACCTTCTGGATCCCTCTCAAAGGTTACAGGGATTTTATTGTCTCCCTGATTAGACTGCTGCTCTCTATGATGGAGAGGCAGCCTGGAAACTTGTCCCTCAATAAACTTTATTCCCCCACCCCCACCCCCAGTGGTCTGTCTGGTTTTGCTGAGTTTACTTAACTCAAAGGAAGGATAAAAGGGTCTTAGAAGATGGGGTGGTGGTGGTGCCTGAGTGCCCAGCACTCAGGAGGCAGAAGCAGGAAGATCTCTGAGTTTGAAGCCAGCCTGGCCCTCAGAACAAGGTCCAGGACAGTGAGTTCCAGAGTTAAAAAAGAAACTCTGTGTGAAAAAAAAATCTTTGAGTTTTACTAGCAACACAATTTTCAACATCATGGGCAATATAAAATATTGGGAACTGAGTTTCCATGTATAACATTCAGCTACATGAACTTTAATGTAGATTTGGGGCTAATAGCACTGTAAACTAGACCTCTACACTCACCAACACAAGGTTGCCTGCTTCCCAGCTGTCCCCTGGGCTGGCACCAGGGCCCCCCACTTGTTCCTGTACCTGCCCGGGACATTGTTTCTATTTGTCACCCACAATAAGGATTTCTAGAGAAGCAGCTCATTTGAGTTTGAGAAAACGGGAATCTCCTGGGCAGCCAGGTTGCCAGTAACTCCTGGGTGGGTCAAAGGACCCAGAATTCAACTTGAAGATTCTGTGTTCTGGGCAGTCCCAGAGGATAACCGTCACACTTAACAGATAGAAATAGTGTCTAAGGTGGGCCGATAAGATGGACGCACAGGATAATAGGGTGTGTGTGGGGGGTCTGGGAGGAGTTCAGGGAGGGAACATTATACAATTAGTAAATACTGCATGATCTGTTTTCATTAAAGTGGATTTGAAAGAGGCACTCAGAAGAGACACACAGGAGGTACACTTTAGTGTCTTGCCATAGCTGCACGTGGTGCGGCCACTTTGGTGGCTCTGAAGTTACAAAAAAGGAGTCGCTAAAACTCTTTCCCTCTCTTTGACCAATGGTAAGATAAGGTAGCTATCTGTAGAGGTGTTTGAGTAGGGCTATCACCTAAAGAAATAAAACTAACCTGCTAGGTTTACATATCAGGTTAGGACAAATCCTTTTTACTGTAAACCGGTTTGCTGGTAGTTTCTAGAAAACTGCAAGTCTACAGCTGGGAAGCTCAATGAAGCTAACACTTTTGGAATTTTTTGTTTTCAAGATAGGGTTTCTCTGTGTAACATTCCTGGCTGTCCTGGAACTTGCTTTGTAGATCAGGCTGGCCTCGAACTCACAGAGATCCACCTGCCCTTGGCATGTGCCATCACCGCCCAGCCTGCTTTTGGGATTCTTGACTCTCAGCTCATGAGTCAGAGTCTACTGAGTGGGGCCCTGTCTTGGGTCAGAGCACTCTGCAGGGCAGAGAAGACTTCAGGTGCATCCTCCTAGTTCCAGATCCCTGTCTCTGTCCCTTCCTGCTAAACTTACAAAACACCTGGGACGAGGTGACATGAAAAGAGCAGCAAATTCTCAAAATACAAGAGGCAGAATGTCTAAGGCCCACAGTCAGGCTGCATCTGTGTAACCCTCACCGCTGTTCCTAGACAGGGTGGAGGCTGAGCTGAGCCCTGAGCCAGTGGCATCCATTTCTGCATACTGCCTCTCACCATGTGTGCGGTCTGCATCCCTCACAAGTCCGTGTCACCTAGGAACCAGATACGGCCTCCAAGGACATGATGGGGCAAGTGCATGTATTTCCCAGAAGACATGGATGAGGGTGCACACAGAGCCCTGAAGACCCATGCACTGGGGAAGACAGGTCCATTAAGCCATCATCAGCACAGTAGGTAAGTGTGTTTCCATGACAGAAAGAGAGTCAGTAGAGGGGACAGACCACAGTGCCACACAACCTCCTGGAAGAATTTCACATGCCAGAAACTTGAGTGTTAACCTATGGTCAGCCCCCCAGCGGCAGTCAGAGCTTGCTAGTGGCGTTTCAGTATCCATCCGCGCCCCTCCCCCCACATCTTTTTTGCTCTGCTCTGGAGCGCCCTTTAGCGGGGCATACGTAAATACCCAATTTCCTTGTAGAGCCACGCCATCCAGGAGACCGACACCCGTAGCCCGGGAAAGGTTCCTGCTCGTTAGGATCCCAGGTGTCACATACTAAATCACACAAATCTACCAACAGTTCAGGAAAACAGGTGCTCTTGGGAAGCCTTTCGTGGGGGGTTTCGTTTGCAAGGGTTCCCGTTTCAGTGTTATAAACTCGCCAGGTAACAAGATAGGGACCATGGGGGTTGGAGCCAGGGTGGCTACAGAGACTACAGAGAACAATTCCAAAAAGGCTACAACTAAAGTTAGGGTTCTTTTAGGAGTCTTATTTTGAGAGGGTTTTGGGTGCGTTGGAGCCTCCATGAGATGGTGGGTAGGTCAATAAAGTTTGGCTGCATGTAGCACTGACCAAAGTTGTTTGAACAAGCCAAGGGCAGTGTTCACCTTAGGGAGGGAGGGAGGGAGGAGGGGCAGAGGTGGGGAAGAATAGGAAGCAGCCTCCTGGGACATGGAGCCTATAGGGTGGGCTCGCTGTAGAAAAATGCTTCCGGTTTATGTATAATTTGTATACACTTACATATGCTTCTGCATACACAACTATGTGTCAAAATCTCAAGGGAAGCTAGAGATGGTTCAGCAGTTAAGAGCTGAGCATATTGTTCTTGCAAAGACCGTAGTTTGTTTCCTAGCAACTGTATTAGACATCTAACAACTGCTTGGAACCCCAGCTCCAAGAGATCCAATCCCCTTTTCTGAACTTCGCTGGTACCCACACTCCCACACACATATACATAATCACACATAAGACCAGTAGAGATAATTTGAATTTTTCCTTTCCTCTCTCTCTCTCTCTCTCTCTCTCTCTCTCTCTCTCTCTCTCTCTCTCTCTCTCTCTCTCTCTCTCTCTCTCTGTGTGTGTGTGTGTGTGTGAGTAGCCCTTTAAAAAAAAACAAATAGTTTGGGGGAGTGCCTTGCCTTTGATGCAGAGAACAGAGGTGTAGGCCACCCAACTGGTTCTGGGCCCTTTACAGAGAATGAGGAGTTTTTTGTCAAGAAACAAAACAAGGAGCTAGAGAGACAGCTAAGTGGTTGAGAACATGTACTGTTCCTGCAGAAGATCTGGGTTTGTTCCCAGCACCACATGGTAGCTCACAACCATCCATGACACACAGCAAGTGCACATACAAACATGCATGTAGGAAAACACTCATGCACATAAAATAAATCTTTAAAGTCTAAAAACAAAAACCTATTTGCTCATCAAGAAAATAAAAGCACCAGCTGGAGATTAAAACATAACTTATAAGGCACATACTAGATGAAGACCTCATATCTAGAAATATGAAAAGCATTAGAAAAATAGCCTGATTTTTTATGGGAAAGCCAGGTGTGGTGACGCAGGCGCGTAATCATAGCATGTTGGAGGTAGACATTGGAAGAGTGGGGGGGGGGTTGCTTTTGTTTGTTTTGTTTTTGTTTTTGTTTTGAAGACAGGGTTTCTCTGTATAGTTCTGGCTGTCCTGGAACTTGCTCTGCATACTAGGCTGGCTTCAAACTCAGAGATCCGCCTGCCTCTGCCTCCCAAGTGCTGGGATTAAAGGTGTGCACCATCACTGCCCAGCTCTTGGAAGAGTGTGATCTTGAGGCCAGCCTATCTTAAAACAAAATGGAAAAAAGTATGTGTGTGCATGCATCTGCAGGAGCACCCACGTGGGCACCCACAGGGTGAGCAAACTCTCCACTGATGAGAAATGTGAACCCCCGGCACAGCACAGGTTTTCAGCACCATGAGACATTTGGGACACAGTAAAAGCTCAGCATACCAAGTGTAAGGACCCGGAGCAAAAACCCTGGCGGGAATATAAGTTGGTCCTATGGTTTTAGGTGGCTGTTTGTAACCAAATAATCATAGAAATTTCTTCACTCATAGGTACTCCAGAGCAATGAAATAACATTCGCACAATGATTTTCACACACTGTTCAGAACGGTTTCATTTATGATGACCCTCGGCTGGCACAAACCCACATGTGTCAACAGGGACTTACGCAGGTAATACATGCTCATTGGAACATCTAGAAGGTATAGCTGTGTAAAGTCAGGGACAGGTTGAACCAGTCCTCCTGGGGACATGCCATCCACCTGGTGATGTGGCTAGCGAGTCAGGAATTTTGAGCTCTGGTTAACAGTCTCCACCGGGCCTACAGACCACCTACAGCTGAGGGGTTGGAGTCTTACCAGTTAATTGTGGCTTGAGCAATGGGGTTGGGAGGATTTGCTTCTTGTGTTGAAGTGTCCTCTTGTGTCCTTATTTGGAACTGCAAACACAACCTCGGGTTGGGTAAGGGCAAGGGGGTTCTGAGGTTCTTCCCTGGCTGAAATGGTTGCAGAGGTGGCTGTGTTCTTTGGCATATCCACATCCCCGCCCCCACAAAGCCGAGATTTTAGCATTGCAGAATTATGTAAGAAGCCTCCCCGCTCTCACGGCATCTCTGCCAGTGTTTTCTTCCCTGTTCTGTGCAGGCTCCTGAAAACCATGCTGTAAGCGTGACTTCGCTTCTCAGACCACACTGACAGGACCACGGACCAACCAAGGGTCTTTCCCTGGGATGCAGAGGCAGCCACCACAGGTTCTGTATCGAATGACAGGGAGTGGTGGAGCAGCCCCAGTCTGTGGGCAGAACTGGGGAGAATAGCCAATCCTCTGAGGAGAAGTGTGACAGCATTCACAGAGACACCAGCGTGTGTCCTTCCCGCCTTCTCATTGCTAAGGATGTGGCTGTGAACAGCTCCTCGCTTCCAAGATGCTTCTGATGGGGCATCCTCGCTGTTGACTTACTAGATTGAAGTCACCTAGGAGACACTATCTGCTGTGTCTGCGAAGGAGCTTCTAGAAATGTGTATCTAAGGAGGGAGACTCACACTGAACATGGATGGTATCATTCTGTGGCCTGGGGGTCCCAGACTGAATAAATAGGGAGAAAGAGAACACGAGCCCAGCTCTGGCGTTTTTCTGCTTCCTGACTGTAGATGCCATGTAACCAGCTGCCTCATGCTCCTGACACCATGCCTGCCTGGCCGTGGTGGACTGTACGCTTCAACCTGTGAGCCAGAATAAACCCTCCCTTCCTTAAGTCCCCTTTGTCAGGCGTTTTGCCATCGCAATGAGAAAAGTAATGGGTGCAGTTTCTCGACCTCACTAACTATGCTGCAAATCTTTTCTTGGTGGACATTTCTAGTGCCTCATTCATTCGTTCATCCATTCATTCACTTATTCAGCCATCAAACCCTTACTGAGACTTTCTACATGTCAAATGCTGCTCTAGATGCAGAGGAAAGGGCAGTGGAGTGCTCTCGTGTCAGGGAGATGGACACTAAACCAACTGACAAATACAGTACAGTCGATGGTGCTGGGACTCCGAAGACAAGGCGAGGGAGAGAGACTATATCTGCTGTAGTGTGAGGTGCTGTGTTCGTAGGGTCTGAGTCTGTTTGTGCTGCTGTAACAAAATCCTTGGGGTTCGTTAACTCATAAAGAAGAGAAACTTACTTTTCCACCTGGAGAGTCTGGATGTCCCAGATGGAGCATGAAGTCTGTACCTCAGAGGAGGAAACGCCACCACCTCGTGGTGAAAGGCAGAAACGCAGAGGAGTCCAAATGAGTGCACTGAGCCCTTTCAGAAGGCTTGGCACCTCACCCCACTCACCACGGATTACCTATTTGAGGTCCCATCGCTTAATGCTGTCACAGTGGCAGCAATTGGCTAATGCTTTGGGAGCTTCATCTTCTTTCCCCCAAGAAACTGATAGCTGGGCAACTGTGCTTAGAGGGAGGGGCCCCAGAGGAAGCTGGGGCAGGGGAAAGGCAGGGGTAGGGGGTGTCTCTAGTTGCCTAGGCCGAGGCTCATATCCAAGTAGTGGTCAGTCTCCTGCACGGTGTCTGCAGGTTATACAATGAGAGCTGTCCTCAAACTCACAATTCAACCACCTCTCCCATTTCATTGACACTCAGGGTCTGCAGTGGTCAGTCTCCTGCATGGTGTCTGCAGGTTATACAATGAGCTGTCCTCAAACTCACAATTCAACCACCTCTCCCATTTCATTGACACTCAGGGTCCGCAGTGGTCAGTCTCCTGCATGGTGTCTGCAGGTTATACAATGAGCTGTCCTCAAACTCACAATTCAACCACCTCTCCCATTTCATTGACACTCGGGGTCTGCCTAGAGCCATGTCACACCCCTCTTTCGATAGAGATTTGTATATTGAAGTATATTTCACAAGTCTGGTTCCAGGCAGAGGATGTGGGAGAAGACCCTGGCAACCTAAAGAGCTTCCTCTGTCCCGTGTGAAGGAAGGACAGAGGCACACTGGGCCTGTGGGGTGTGGGACCCCTAAGGGACAGATTTTCTGACATTAGAAGAGGAGGGAAATCTTACATGAATTGTCATTGTCAACCACAATGGGACCAGAGAGATGGCTCTGTTGGTAAAGTGCTGACATTATAAGCATGAAGACCAGACCCACATAAGAAGCCAGATGCAGCGGTATACACTTGTCATCTCAGAGCTGGACACGGGCAGATGCCTGCCAAGCTGGCTTCCTCGGAGAGTTCCAGGTAATGAAAGACAATGTCACAAAGAAAAAAAAACATGTGTATTTAAAGGGTGTCATCTAGCCTACACACACACAGTACACACACATATACATGCACACTCACATGTACAAAGACACACACAGTGCACTCACATACGTGCACACTCACATGCACATGTACAAAGACACACACTGTCCCCTAGAATGAAGAGCCTCCCACTCCTTTGTATGAGGGAGAATGCCTCGTTTTAAGGCTCCCTCTATTCTTGGGAATTATGTGGCGCTTCCAGAAGAGTGAGAAGCTTCTCAAGACTCCACTGTTGGGTTGGAAGAACCCACAGCTGATCTGAGTTTATTCAGCTACTATTCATGGACATTGTTCACACTCAGCATTTTGCACTAACCGTGGATAGCAGAGTTAAACAAGCCTGCTTCACAAGCCTTCCCAGAAAGCATGCAAAGCAGAGCATCAGTAGGGTACCAGGTGACCTGGAATCATCAGTGGTGGCCCATTTTCCCACTTTATTAATCTATAAAAGACACTGCCATGGAAAAATGAATCCCAAGCCACAAGCCCTCATTTGCACAATTGTGGGACAGTTCCTCACTGCACAGCCACTTACCCTGAGGCTTCTACTCCTCTGCCAAAATCCTGTCACCTGCTTTCCAGCCCTCCTGAGAGGAAAGTGACACTTGGTTCCAGGAGTAAGCTGGAGTATCCTTTGCTGGATACCGAGGACTGGATCCAGGCATGGAGGGGCTCTCCATGGCGCTCTTCCCAGCGGCTTCTGTGCTGGCCTCTTTTTCTCCCTCCACAGTTCTTTTCTTCCATCTTCTTTTGCCACACTTCCCCACAGTGTTTCAGTCTGTGGTAGGCACAAAGATGCCGCTTGGTAAAGGGTTCCGGGCTGGGCCCAGCTAAGCCACGGTTCTGGTGCTCAGGGTCCAGCTGTGGCAGCTTCAGCAGCTCCAATGCTCACAGGTGTTCTGTGGATCAGTGGAGACACCTTTGCCCCTGTGTCCAAGAGTCCAGCCTTTATCCTAGATAATGCTGCAGGATGCAAGCTGAGCAGAACTTGAACCACTCACGCTCACCATTTAACTTTGTTTCTTCTTCTTCAATTTCTTCAAGACAGGGTTTCTCTGTGTTACAGCCCTGGCCATACTGGAATTCACTTTGCAGATCAGGCTGGCCTCATATTCACAGATATCTACTTGCCTTTGCAGATCTCTGCTGGGATCAAAGACCTGTGCAACCATGCTTGGCTCACACTTGAATATTTTTTTAAGAATTTTTAGCTTTAAAAAGTCCCCCCTCTGTCTCTCCCTGTCTCTCTGTCTCTGTCTCTGTCTCTGTCTCTGTCTCTCTGTCTCTCTCTCTGTGAGTGTATGTGTGGTGTGTGTGTGTGTGTGTGTGTGTGTGTGTGTGTAAAGGGTAGTGGAAGGAGGGAAAGGGGAAATGATATAATTATATTTTAATTTCAAAAAGAAAAAAACTTAAATGTCTTAATGAGAACCATTACTATGTATGCTACAATAAAAATGTAATTTAAGAAAGAACAAGTGCCTTATGTAGCATATCAAATGATTGTCAGAAAGGGTGGTGGTGCCCACCTTTAATCCCAGCACTTGGAATGCAGAGGCAGGTGGATCTCTTCGAGTTCAAGACCAGCCTGGTTTACAGAGTGAGTTCCAGGACAGACTCTAAATCTACACAGTGAAATCCTGTCTCTGAGGGAAACAAAAAAACCTCACACATCCATTAGCAGGGCCATTAAGCTGCCCCTGCTAGGGCAAGGGCAAAGCCGGGAAAGGGGCCTTGGGCTAGAGCAAAGCTTTCTCTCTGTCTGGAAAGGACTAACAAGCCTGTTCCAAGAGGGCTTCACACATTACCTCATGTGATGCTCACCGCAGTCACATAAAGATGGTAATTTTAAACCTTGAAATGGTGCAAGGGCTACCATCCCTGCAATTTCCAGTGACACCCCTCCTGGGTAATTACTTGAGTGGAGTCTTGTGGATGCCATTTCCTGGAACTGCTGGAGAATTTGGGAACGCGGGTCACGCAAGTTCCCTTTCCTTCAGGCTCCGCGAGAAGAGTGCTTAGGGGGAGGGCCAGCGTGCTGTGTGCTTCAGTCTCTAAATGTGTCCACTCTGCGGATCTGTACCCAGGAGGTACCGTTACTGTGTGCCCTGCCTCCCCACTTCTCTCCCTGACCCAGTCCTGGGTCCCCAGGTACCAGTCGGGAGACACTCTGTGGCCTGGGGTGGGCGGAAAGTCCTCCAGCCGTTTTAGTGTCGTTCCGGTATCTGAGAACCAGGTGCTCACATCTTCCATGGAATCTGGCCAACAGCTGGCTTGGGAGTCCGTGCCAAGGAGCTCTGGTGACCGGGAAGGGCTAGCGTGGAGGCCAGCAAAGTTGGCAACGGAAGCCCTGATCTATTTCTCATCTCCACCATCTCATCTCCTTGGTATCCATTTCCTGCCTGGCCACCGCCAGCCCTCCCGCCCCTCGCTTTCCCTTCTCCCCACTGGGAAAGGACTGTGTTCCACATCCTCAGCCTAAGGCAACCTTGTCCATTCTGTGCTTGAGGAAACTGAGTCTCTAGTGGTCAGTGATGCCCAGAGGGCCTTCTCTGGCTGAGCTGCATCCAAACTAAGAGTGCAAGACTCCAGATCTCACATTCTTGCCCATAGCTACAAGCTTGCAAATAGTGGTCCCGCACACAAGTCGGAGTAAAATGCAGATCCTGAGCCAGAAGGTCTGGGAGGGCTCTGGGAGCTTGCATCTCTCTCCTTTTTCCTACAGTTCTTGATTGTTATTCTATGTGTGCATTTGACCTGCATGTAGATATGAGTGTCATGTGTGTGCAGTGCCAGCAGAGGGCAGAAGAAGGCTTTAGATCCCTTGGAATGCCCGGGGAGATAGTAGGAACCAAAGCTGGAACCAAAGCTGGGTCCTCTGTAAGAACAGCAAGTGCTCTTAACCACTGAGTCATCTCTCCAATCCTGGATTCTACATTTCCCACAAGCTCCAATATGAAGCCCTTTAAGTAAACTTCACCTAGCAAGTATGTGTTGCTTTATCTACTTATTTTTAAAGTATATATTAAAAAATAATTCCTCTTGATTCTTACTATAACCCAGTGTCTTAGTTAGGGTTTTTTTTTTTTTTTTTTTTTTTTTTTTTTTTTTTTACGAGACAGGGTTTCTCTGTATTGTCTTGGAGGCTGTCGGTCCAGCCCGGCCTCGAACTCACAGAGATCCGCCTGCCTCTGCCTCCCGAGTACTGGGATTAAAGGCGTGCGCCACCACCGCCCGGCTTAGTTAGGGTTTCTATTGCTGTGATGAAACGCCATGACTGAAAAGCAAGTCGGGGAGGAGAGGGTTTATCAGTTTACACTTCCACACCACTATTCACCATTGATGGAAGTCAGGACAGGAACTCAAACAGGGCTGGGTCCTAGAGGCAGGAGGTGATGCGAGATCATGGAGGACTGCTGATTACTGGCTTGCTTTCCCTGACTTGCTCAGCCTGCTTTCTTATAGAACCCGGGACCACCAGCCCAGGGATAAATACCACCCAACAGGAGCTGTGCCCACCCCCAGTGATCACTAACTGGAAAATGCCTTACAGGTGAGTCTCATGGAGGCATTCCCTCAGCTGAGGCGCCTTCCTCTCTGGTGCCTCTAGCTTGTGTCAAGTGGACACACAAACCAGCTGGTACATGTAGTGAGACAGGCAGGGCGGCGTGAACGCACTTGTGCCTCGTCTTCCGTTTTCTTTTGGTCCTGTGGTGGTGTGAGTGAGAATGGCCCCTATAGGCTCACATATTTGAATGCTTGGCGCCCGGTTGGTGGAACTGTTTGGGAAGGATTAGGAGAGGTGTTATTGGAGAAGGTGTGTCACTGGGGGTGGGCTTTGAGGGTTTTTTTTTTTTTTTGGTTTTTTTCAAGACAGGGTTTCTCTGTATTGTTTTGGAGGCTGTCCTGGAACTTGCTCTCGAACTCACAGAGATCCACCTGCCTCTGCCTCCCAAGTGCTGGGATTAAAGGCGTGCGCCACCACCACCCGGTGGGCTTTGAGGTCTTAAAAGCCACACCTTCCCGGTTATCTCTCTCTGTCTCTGTCTCTGTGTGTGTCTCTCTCTGTCTGTCTGTCTGCCTCATGTTGTTGTGTCAACATGGAAGCTACTCCAGTACCATGTCTGCCTGTTGCCACGCTCTCTGTCACGATGGTTATGCGCACACCCTCTGAAACTGTAAGCCCCAATAAACTCTTTTGTTGTGTAGTATTTGTTTAAGTAGGCAAAGATGTGCAACATTTGCTTATGCTGCTTTTGTTTAATTATGTAAAGATGTGTTGCTGTTTTATCTTGCTCATCTAAGGCACCTGATTGATCTAAAAATAAAAAGCTGAATGTCCAATAGCTAGGCAGTAGCAGGGCTGGCAGTCAGAGAGAATAAGTAGGAGGAGGGATCTACGCTCGGGAGGATGAGAGAGAAAGAGAGGGAGACACCTGGGGCCAGGGAGCCACCAGACACAGAGGAAGCTGTGAAAGTAGGACATAAGAAAGAGATAAAGAAAGAAAAGAAGGAAGGAAGAAGAAAGAAGATAAAGTAGGGAGGGAGGAAAACGTAGATGAAGAGAAACAGGTTAAATTATAAGAGCAAGTGGGACAAGTGTAAGACCAGGCTGAGCATTCCTAACTAATAATAAGTCTCCGTGTCTTTATTTGGGAGCTGGTTGGTGGCTCAAAAGAAAGCCGGCTACACTCTTTGTTCTGTGTGTTGCCTTGGCCATGCTGCTTTGTTATAGAAGTAGAAAAATAACTAAGACTAAGGTTGGCTTTGCACTTGCTGTAGCTGAGGATGACCTTGAACTTTGGATTTTTCTGCCTCCACCTCCAGAGTGCTAACAAAACTGGGGCAAGCCACCAGGCCCAGTTTATACAGTTCTGGGGTGGAGACCCGGGGTTTTGTGCATACAGGGCAAGCATTCTACCAACCGAGCCATATCCTTAGCCCACATTAAAATTTTACAGGCTACTTGGCCAAAGTCCAGAGTCCTCCTGGTGAGCAAGCAGCATTCAGGAGACAGCACTGCAATGAGGCAATGATCCCGTTTTTGGGGGCCTGGTTCATCACACTGCTTCCTTGCAAAGATACATAAAGAGTTGGCCCCAGATGCCAGACCAGATCCTGTAGCTGTTACTAACCATTTCATGTGTTTAATGTCATTTGAACCCTGCGGCTGAGAAGCAGCCTTGAGGTTGTGACAATTGTTCTATTATTCTGAGGTCCCTTTGTCCCTGGCCAAGTGAGACACCCCATTAAAAAAAGAAAAAGAGCCCTTAGAGAAGTTGCAAATGGCTGGAGGTGGAAAACACACCAATCCTAGAGGCCGAAGCTGACTGTTTTCCTCTGTCAGATCAATTGTGCTCTGCGAGCTGTCCTTGGCAGTGAAAATGGGCCAGATAAGTGATACATTGAAAGAATAGAGGCTGCTGAGTTCTGCCAGGAGGCCTATGATGGAAGAAATGACAGACTCCTTGTAGGAGAACTGTGGGCTGTGCCAAGGGCACTGAGCATGGTAAAAAAAAAAATGGGGGCAGGCTGAGGCCATATACTCAGGGGCTCAGATCTTGGGGGAGAAAAGAAGAAAGAAAAATGCTGAGTGGCAGCTGAACCCCCAGGCAATGGAGACTATCTAGGTTGGAAGGCTGAATGTATGGCAGACTAGATGGGGAACAGAAGCCTGGGGATGGAGCTACTAACCCCAAGGCTGGTGATGTTGGTCCCAGGCTTCCCTGCTTGTTATAGGCAGCCATGAAGTCACAGTTCGGGGCCCTCGGCTGTAGTCTTAAGTGATTCATCTCGTTTACCTCTGTGTCTTTCATGGACCAGATCTTGTCTGACTTTTCTTAAATAGCTCAAAGGGGATCTGGATTGAAGAAATCTGTAAGGTTCCTATTCGGTGGTCGGGCTACCTTCAGTGGGTGTCAAAGGTGTATTACAGTGTGGTCCCCATCCTATGGCAATATTGGGAGCTGGCCGAAGCTTTAGAAGGTAGTAGGTAATAAGACCCTTCTTATTTGCCAGAGCTTCTAGACAGACAGCTAGTGCATCATTGGGTCCCAGGATGCTCCCATATATGTTTGGGGAACCCTGAGGATAAATATTCAGTAATTTCAAATGTTCTATAATTCATACCAATGACACTGTCTAGAAATGTCATTATAATTATTTAAAATGGTCTTTTAAAAATACATCTAGAATGATCTCTGGGAACCTGAGGGACCCATGACCT